AATGCACGAGATATTCTCAACCTTCAATTCAAGTAATGAACTATACGAGATATTTTTTAACCCATACCCCTCACAACAACTTTTTATTCAACATTCAAACTTTGAATTATAGAAAAAGTTGTTTTAGGTTGGCCCTAACTTTTATATAATTAATAGTGTCTTCTAAACCTTCAAGCTCCATGTTTTGTGCTTATGAGATTTTTTCTCGACATCTTTGGGGTTGATTACATCCACTAATTTAACACACATTTTGCCATGTTTTTTATTCTTTGATGAACATTCAAGTTTGTAGTATTACAATTAATAAAAAAAAGTGTTAGCATAGTTGTTAAAAATTTAACATATGTGCAAACATAAATATAAAAAAAAAAAATACATACCTTCCGTTAGGGTATAAAATTTAAATTATCATCCAATTTTCGTTTGCTTTCCATTTATTAACTGCTTGTAAAGCCCTTGTCTTCATTGCTCTGGATTAGTGTAATGGTTTGTTAAATTATAAGATTATTCATTAGTCAATTTGTTTGAACATCTTTGGAAGCAATGGTTAATTTAATGAAAAGAGATTCACCAAAGTGTAGCTTAGAAGCATAATTATTGAAAAAGACAAAAAAAAAAAAGCCTTTTTTTTGGTGTTTGGTGAGAGAAAGGGGTAGTTCACAATTTATATGACATGATAATAGATATGTACTCACAAAAACTAAGGCTGATGGGTGTGGAGTGCGGTTCCAAACCGCGGGTGTGCCACGTCAACAGCAAACACTGCCCCCAGGGTGCGGTCTCGTGCGGTCTTGGCCGCACTGCGGCTAGAAATGGCCGCACCCTCTTTCTTCTCTCTCTATATTTATGTGTCTTTCTCTCTCTTCTCCTTTCTCTCACCTCTCTCTTTCTCTAACATGATTTCCACTCCCTGGGTGTGGTAAAGATGATGTGGCTCCTATGTGTCAAAGGAGGGAGTGCGGTTCCTGTGGCACCACTCCCTCCAGCCTAAGACACAAGACTTAAAAGTACTTTGTTGTAGCTTACTCTAATCACAAGATGCTAAATACTAAATGTACTAAAAAAAAGTAGGTGACGACTACTATTTACGAATCTTTACACATTATCTCTTTTTACTCGTCGGTACATTTCAATGTCTAAACCAAACTACGTTATACTGATACTAAATGCATATATTTATAAGTTAGAGGATAAAAAATATCATAAATTGATTCCATATTCAAGGGTTACTTTAAGTTATGTAACAATGCTAATCAGATCATAATTGGTCAGATTCGTAATTATAAATATTGTTTAGTCGGATCATAAACGATACCAATTGAATATTGTTTAGATTAGTAATTATAATTATTGTTTAGTCATATCATAAACGATACCAATTGAATATTGTTTATGTAACTATATATTAATCTAATTTAAATCAGTGGATAGTTGAATTAATATAAAAAACACTAATCCTAGTTTTCTCATATATATTACCATAAAAGACCGGTAACTACAAATAATCAAGAAACAAGTAGTCAAAGAAAAAAAATACAAAATGAGACGTGAATACCAAAATGTTCATGTATGAACGTATGTTCATAAATGAAACATATGTTAATTTATGAAGACAGAATCAATTATAAACGATATCACCCGATACTAATCTCTATTACGGTGTGGATAATCATTTAGAAAACTAGTTTAGGGTTTTTACCATTATGATATTCGAGTAAATCAAGTGCTCCGACCTCTGCAATCGAACTCTTCATTTTGATCTAATAACAGTTAATAAGCTTCGTGGATGTTCTACAACATCTGATTTGCATTTTTGATGAGCGATAAAGTGTGTATATGTCATTGCAGAACAAGTTTTTACCTTTATGATGTTCGAGTATATCAAGGTATGCGTCGATTATCTGGAACTTATCTCCGATGAGCGACATAGTTTGTCGTGTACGGGTGATAGAATAGTGTAATGAAAATATTGGTACAATTATCAACATAACGAGGGATATGATTGTTGATCGGTTTCACTAGATCAAATACCAATAATACTCTTACTCAACCGCTTTACTCACTTGCGTATGAGTTTAAATTTATTAAAAAAACAAATATATTAGGTTATATCAACTATCAGATGGATTGATCTAATGGCCGAAGCTTAGTTAAGTGGTTATATTATGTTTTTTGGTTTTGTGGATATTACTTAGGGAAATCTTCAGAAAAGTCCTAATATTTTACCCTAATTTATGAAAAAGTCCTAAACTAAAATTTGTTTACAAAAAAGCATGAATTACCGGTAAAAATGACGATTTGACCCCCTTTTTACGGTTTATCGGTTTTATTACTTACCTGGTTTCATTAAAGTTTCGTTATTTTACCCTAATTTACGAATAAGTCCCAAACTAAAATTTAATGATGATTTGACGATTTTCTCCATTTAAAATACATTTTACCGGTTTCATTGCTGACTTGGACACCTATCATTATATTAGCTGATAAGATAGATACAATGAGTTATATAATGCTACATTTGCTGTAAAATTTGATATCTTTCTCATCAGCTCATCTATGATTATGTATTTATGTCAACAATGAAACCGGTAAAATATGTGCTTTCAGGAAAAAAAAGGTAGGAAATAAGTTGATGTATGATGAGATCAATATATTGGGTTACATAAGATTAGATAGACAATTTGAAATTTTTTATAAACGTAAAAAATGACAGTCGTTGCAGGTTTATGTAATTATTTGTCTTCATTTGATGCATTTTATATTCCAAAAAATATACAATTCATCATGATATCAAGTTTATGGTAAACATTAGGTTCTATGGAAAACAAAAAACCCTAAAAATGCATAAAAAAAATACTTAGAGATTACAAAACTTTTTTTTTGACTTTATAAATGAAAAAATCGCAGGTTTTTACTAAAATTCGCTGAAAAAAAAACCAAAAAAAAATCGATTTTTTTTTCAGCGAATTTTAGTAAAACCTGCGATTTTTTCATATATAAAGTCAAAAAAAAGTTTTGTGATCTCTAAGTATTTTTTTTATGCATTTTTATGATTTTTAGGGTTTTTTTTATTCCATATAATCCTTCCCTATATATATATTATATATATATATATATATATATATATATATATATATATATATATAATATATATATATATATATATATATATATATATATATATATAGGGAAAAGGGAATATACATTACAGTCACACCTAAGCTTAGGTACTAAACCTCTTGAAAATACATTGTTTTACTGTATAAAGATTACGGTTAATGGATTCACGATTAATACTTGAAGATGTAAATTCAAGATCGACACAATAGGGTTTAGGGTTTAAGGTATGGGTTTAGGGTTTAGGTTTAGGGTTTATAGTTTAGGGTTTAAGGTTTAGGTTTAGGGTTTACGGTTTAGGGTTTAGGGTTTAGATAAGGTAGCAAAAATATTTATTATCTTTGCCCATTCGTGACAGTGGAAAAAAGTAATGTTCACTTGGATGAAGTAATAAACGATAATGGAGAAAAGAAAACAGAGATAGTAAAACGATAATGAAAGAAAGAAATGTTATCGATGATGATATATTTACCAAGTGAAACCAAACCGGATATATTTACCAAGTTAAAACGACATATTTTAGAGGTTTAGTACCTAAGTTTAGGTGAGGCCGTAATGTATATTCCCTATCCTCATATATATATATATATATATATATATATTATATATATATATTATATATATATATATATATATATATCATCAGCTTATTTAATGAATAGTCGTAGGTCAACAATGAAACCGGCAAAATGTATATTACAGGGAGAAAATGATCATTTTAGTTTGAGACTTATTAATAAATTATGGTAAAATAATGAGACTTTAATAGAACCATATAAATTATGAAACCGGTAAACCAGAAAAAAGAGGTCAAATTGTCATTTTTACCGGTAATTCATGTTTTTTTGTAAACAAATTTTAGTTTGAGATTTTTTTGTAACTTATGGTAAAATATTATGACTTTTTTGAAGATTTCCCTATTCCTTAAAGAGATTCATCAATATTTAAGATTAAGATATTACCATAGGGAGATCATGGTAAGATAATACATATTATCATACTAGAGAATACAATAACATTATCAGTAAGAGAATAAATAGGATTTGGGTATAAGATAATATCCTCAGACATTGAAAATAGTTACAATTAGATATGGAGAAATTACAATATGATAATGCTTATGGAGAAAGTACAAGAAGATCATACCTATCGAGACAGTGCAGTAAAATAAGTCCCTCTATGAGAAAATATAGAAAATAAAGTAAGATTAGTAAGACGATATAAGATTAAAATAAAATTATAGAAATTGTATTTTGATCATATTTTAGAAAGAGCCATTGTATTTTGTTTTTACTGTTAGATGACTTTTTTACCTGCTAAAATCTCAAATATGTGAACATTTGCCGGTTTCTTGTCCTATTTTGTTTTAAAAAAAAAGCTGTGTGCATGAACCCAAAATACAAGGACTTTTTTTTTTTTACCAAAAACCTTCTCTTAGGTACAACACTTTATATAGACAATATCACAATATATAAGGAAATTTATTCTTAATGCAAACACAAAGTCTTAATAAGTGAACCGCAAAGGAGGCAACTTTATACATTCACATGGTCGCTTATATTTAAGTATTTCACTTCTTTTTCATTTTCATCGGTTACAATTTCAATCTATAATAGTTTTCAAATAAATTGTCATTTTGTACTTGGCATCATTTTTAGACACAAGGGTAAAACAATCATTTCCTCTCATTAAGTAAAAAACCGGTCTTTTTTGATACAACGCTTTCTCCAAACATAAATCATTTATCTATTATACAACACTAAGTGGATTTTGTCAGATGGAGCAAATCCAAATCCAATTCTATAAATGGAACCATTGGTTTTGGGAGAACACCATTTGCAAGAAGCATTGCAAGACGAGTGGGTCATGATGATTTTACAGCCATGGCTCCTAGAGACAGTTTGTTAGCAAGTAGGACTACTGTGCCAAGAGAGCTCCATGATTTCAATCCCAAATCGTCTTGCAAGATTTTAGACAAATCCCGCACATCAAATGTCTACATCTCTTCTCAAAATACAGTGAGTTCAGTTGTTAAACTATTATATCAGTGAATCAAATGCAATGTTTTATGGAGTATTATTTATTTATACAAATTACAAAATAGTTGTTAAATGCACAGGATGATCTAGACGATGAAACCTGGAGGATAAAACTTGAACTGAAGAAATCGATGGATATGTATCACTCGCTTTGCAAAGAAGCAACAAATGCTAAACAAAAGGTAGGTTTGATTAGAGGGTTAAATGCAAAAAAGAATAACCTCCTTTCATATATTGGTTTATACATTGCAGGTTCTTGTTAACTTCTTCATGGTTCCTTTCAGGAAACCGAGATTTATCAACAGATGCCACCTGAGGCAGCAGAAGCTGCAAGAGCTATGTTGGAGATGGAGAAACAGAAGAGCAAATCCGCCATTGAAGCAGCACAAAAAGCTCAACTTCTAGCAGAACTCGAAGCCCATAAAAGAAGAAAAGCAGAACTCAAAGCCGAACACGAAGCATCAGAAAGAAAAAAACTCATAATCACTTCAACCCAATCCAGCATTCAGTACAGAAAATACACAATCGAAGACATAGAAATCGCCACAGATTACTTCTCAAATACCCTAAAAATCGGTGAAGGAGGATATGGACCTGTTTTCAGAGGCAATCTCGATCACATCTTCGTCGCCATTAAAGTCTTACGTCCAGACATCTCACAAGGCGAAAGTCAATTCCAAAAAGAAGTCGAGGTCTTAACCTGTATACGACACCCTCACATGGTTCTCCTCATGGGCGCATGCCCTGAATACGGCTGTCTCATCTACGAATACATGGAAAACGGAAGTTTAGAAGACCGACTCTTCAGAAAAAACAACACCCCAGTCCTCCCATGGAGTCTCCGTTTCAAAATCTGCTTCGAAATCGCCGCCGCCCTTCACTTCCTCCACCAAACCCGACCCCAACCGCTAGTCCACCGTGACCTAAAACCCGGAAACATTCTATTAGATCGGAACTTTGTGAGTAAAATCAGCGATGTAGGGTTAGCGAGACTGGTTCCGCCGGAAGTGGCGGACGATGGTGCCCAGTACCACCACATGACGGCGGCGGCGGGGACGTTTTGTTATATTGATCCGGAGTATCAACAGACGGGGATATTGGGGACGAAGTCGGATATTTATTCGTTAGGGGTGATTTTGTTGCAGGTGATTACTGCGAAGAGTCCGATGGGGTTGACTGACTCACCAGGTTTCGAAGGCGATTAAGGAAGGGAAGTTTGTAGATGTTGTTGATCCGGCGGTGGCTGATTGGCCGGTTGAGGAGACGCTGTGTTTAGCGAAACTTGGTTTGCAGTGTTGTGATATGAGGAAGAAGGGTAGGCCGGATCTCGGGTCGGTTATTTTGCCTCAACTTAAACGGCTTGGGGAACTTGGTAATTCTTCATAAAAAAGAGGACATTGTTTTGTATATAGTTAGCTAAACTATAAAATGATAAAATGATAAAATCTGTAAAATTAAATAAAAATTTGGGGAGGGCAAATTTATGTAAAGAATAGTAAATGGTTACTAAAAATTTAAGGAGATGGGAAAATTTGTGTAGTTTGTGTATACTATGATTTTAGTTCTAAGAATGTGACTTTGTCATTTGTTTCCTTGTAAATGCGAAAATGATATATATATATATATATATATATAATATATATATATATATATATATATTATACATTTTGGAATATGATAAGTTGATCATTTGTACAAAGTCAATGGGATATTTGAGATTGAGTTTTCAAACAACTTATACATATTAGTTTTTTTCGTTATGGTATAAGCCAAATTTATTGAACCTACTTTACGATTGATTTGGTGCGGAATAATAATAGTCATGAAGATAATTGTGTATAGATATGATAAACAAGTAGGTAAAGTGATGATGGATAGATAGAGATATATCAAATATTACATGAACAACTTATATTAGGGGTGAGCAAAATCGAACCCGGAAACCGAAAAACCGACAAAACCAAAACCGAAAAACCGAAACCAAAGCATAAACCGACAGTTTGGGTTTAGAATTTTCAAAAACCGAAATTTTCGGTTTGGGTTCGGTTTTTGGGTTTGGTAAAACCGAAAGAAACCGAACCGAACCGAATTTCATATATTATATGTATTTATGTATATATACATAGTCCTTGTCTAGTGGTTAACGCCTTAGGCCATTGTAGGAGATGGTGCATGTTCGAAACTTACTAGCCTCATTTTTCTCGATTTATTTTGCTAGCGAGTTAACTATATCCCACATCGCCCCATTACTGAAACTTAGCCAACATTCTCTTCTATATAAGCTCCCTATCCTCTTTCTTTCTATTATCTCTAAAATTGATCGAGTCCCACATGGCTTGGGATATCTAAATATCAAGTTATCCTCACCATTATATAGTTGATGAGTTGAGGTAGATTAAGAAATAAGTTTGAGATTTGGTTTGAATTGTGAAACCGAAACCGAACCATGAAACTGAAGTGTAAAACCGAAAACCGATAAACCGAACCCATTGGTTTGGGTTCAAATTTTCAGAAACCGATCATCTTCGGTTTGGGTTTGGTTTTAGGTCAAAACCGACCCAAATCGACCCATGCACAGCCCTAACTCATATGGCTAGTGAGAGTTTCCCAGCCAAACTCTTTCTAAACTAAAGTCTACATGATGCACACATACAAATGATCAAACACCTCCACTTTATATACTAGTGGAGATAATATGTTTTTCATACAAGAGAATATTATAACCTAATAAATCACTCAACATTCTAGATCATTTCCTGCTCCAATAATCTCCCCCTAAATGCTCGGAAATAATAAGGGTAATAAGTAGTGATAAAAGGCTGAACATCTGACGGGCAAGTTTGGTGCTGAGATATCTTGGAAAAACTAAAGTTGTTGTGATCTCGAAATCTGACAATAGAGTATCTAACATCAAAGAACATATAGAAGAACCAACTCTGAGCATAAAGATGAAATCCCAATCTTCAACTTTGATCAGTCCCAAAAAACGATCAGGTTCATAGTCTGCCCCTCGACTGTTGAACTGAAGACACATGTATTATAAAAAATACTATATACATATGTCTTATAAAGAATACTATATACCAAAAGAAATGGCTAAAATATAAGAATTTATGTCCATGGTTTTGATTATGTCAAGCATTATGTTGTTATTACCACACCAGCCTCCCAAATACAACATCTCTATTATCATCTTGTATGTAGAAACTAAATTGAATTGACAACATCATCTTGATTCATTTTATACTAATGTTTTGAACTTTAAAAGTTGTTCTTCAAGTATTATGCAACATTGGGCCTAACATATCTCATACCAATTTACTAATTCGCCCAACCTCTTGAATATATAAGTTATGTTATTGTTGCAACTCAGGTTTTCCAAACTCTGATAAGTAGTTAAGCTTCGGTTACACGGGGGAAAGACTGGAGTTCTGAACCTGAAATGCATCACAATTCGTCATACGTTCACTGGGAATAGGGTCCCGGGAAAACGTTTTGATTCCTAAGTTAGATGTCGAATAAAGACGTTACTTAAGTGGAACAGTAAAATGAGTCATTAATCCGTACATGTATTATCCACCGTGGTCAGTTTTTATACATCCTTCATCAAGAAATGTAGTATAGATCATGTTGAACAGGTTCTGGTCTTTTCGTCGTTAACTGAAACATCCCAAAAATCAGATTAAATTTTTAATTTAAAAAAAAAATAACCCAATAACCATAATTGTTTACAAAATCATTGTTTCAAAAGTGTTAATCAATAATCAAAGTATCCCAAAATCCAAATAACATAAATCTGAAGGATGTGCACGATCACGCATTCGCAGTGCCCAGATTATCTGGAGAACTTGAAACCATAACAAACAACTGTAAGCACAAAGCTTAGTGAGTTCCCCCAAAGTACCACCACACAACATATAACATATACAATCATGCATGATGGGTTTAATAAATCATCAGACTGGAATACCCTCGCAGGTCTTCAGTCTATCCGGGCTGTCCTGGGTGTCTTGGCCTTCAGCACCAGCTGGTCCACCTCAACCCAACAAACCATAACATGTCGACATATACATAAAAGATAACATATAACCAGTTAACAGACCACATGCAGATTTATAGATCCCTACCGCATAGCAACATCCTATATACCAGGACACAAATCTAACAGATCACTACAGCCTAGCAACATCCTCTATACCAGGACATATATCTAACAAATCACTACATCATAACAACATCCTTTATACCAGGACACAGATCTAACAGATCGCTACAACATAGCAACATCCTCAATACTAGGATACATAAACGAATAGGTTGGCATTGGTGCCTTCAACCCACAAGAACAGTAAGGAAACTCACCTGAATCGAAGAACTCCGAAACACCGCGATACGATCCCTTTTTCTGCACTGCTTGCACCTGCGAATCCACTAACACCAGAACCAGATAAAATCATAATAAATAGTCCAAAATCCTCAAGTTTGACCCAAAGACAAAATTGGTCAAAAAAGTCAATAGTCAACGGAAGTCAAATCCCAAGACTAGATGCGTACGCCCAACTTACTCCACGTACGCCCAACGTACGAGATTCAAGTCCAGTACGCCAAGCGTACTCCCAACGTATGTTGGTTGATCCCAACATTCCATTAAGCACTTTATCCCTTAAGACCTTTTGTCCAGAGCTCAGATCTAGACTTAAAACATCGACTTAAGTCATAAACTTTCCACCTTTATGACTTTCCGTATCTAGAAAAGGTCTAAAAGCTAAAACCTAACTTATTAATACATTAAGGCATCATAACTCTTGCATGGAAGGGATGGAAGGACCAATATCACATTTTTATGGTTCCTAATAGCTCCATAATGGATAAAGTTTCCAACTTTATCCATTAGAATGGTCCAAACGACCAAGATCTAGTCTTTTAAGTTTCAAAGGGACCAAAAGTGCATCCTTCTTACTTAATCCATTAAGTCCAAGTTTCCAACCTTTAGATTTGAATCAAAATGATCTTTAGATGGATAACGTTTCCAACTTTATCCATAACAAGGCCACAAACTTTCAAGATCTAAAATTTATGCACTAAAGTGACCAAAAGCTCGTAACATCCAAAACAAGCTAGATTAACAAATGTATCATCAAGATTTAAGCTTTATACCTCTAGAAGAAAGATCAAGGTGAACAAAGTTTGGATCTATAAGCTCCAATACAACCAACACTTCTCCAATGAGCTCATTCTTCTCCAAGATGCACAAAGACCACTCAAAAGCACTCAAGAACACCTTCTTTTGCTTACAAGGCTTAAACTAGGGTTAGGGTTTCAATGGATGGTATTGGAGAGGTGGAGGCTAAGAATGTAATGGGTTTGGGAAGTTAAGGAGCTTAAATAGGGCTCAAACCATGAAAATAGGGTTTGGGTTATGATCACGTACGCCCAGCGTACCAGGGATGCCTAGTACGCCCATCGTACATCATGTACGCTCAGCATACCAGACTAAGCCCAAAACCTTCCTAACTTCAAACGATCATAAATTCTTCGTTCCAAATCTGTTTACGACAATCTTTATATCCATGGAAAGGTATTAAAGAGCCCCATAATATTATCTAGATATATTGGACTAAAAACTTCCCGAACAAAAATCCATATTTCATGCAAGAAGTTTGAAACATCACTTTTCCCGTTTCACCCTTTGACTCCAACACAAACCAAGGGCTTGGATCGCATAACCAATATTATCAACATCCAGTAGGGTCTAAACCCTATTCCCTTGAAGCACAAGGCCTTTACTTGATTCATTTATTATCCACAATCCCAAAATAAGAAACTTCTCGAAACAGGATGTTACAAATGCCCTTTCGACCGAAGGTACAAAAGGTTGTACTTAGGTAAGGTCATTAGTCATTTCAGCCAAAACCTATGTACTGTTACGATATTTTGGTATATTAAAGCATGTTTATTGACAATATGTCAATATCTATGTTTATCCATCTTAATCTCACACTTCATGTAGACGGTCGATACTCACCGTTTAATGGATCGACCATTCATTCCTCGGTTTGGTTATGATGATACGCGTGAAATGGTTCTGTATACATCCTCATGGGTTGGAGATGTCGAACTGAACTATGGTTTTACTGATGAGTTCAAAATGTTTTCACTACCATGCTGGAGAAAATACGTTCATGACTTGTGCGAAATGAAAACA